TGTTAATCCTCACCTGAGGATTTTTTTTTCATTGATTGATTTCAGAAAGAAAGGGAGAGGGATAGAGAGAGATAGAAACATCAATGATGAGAGAGTATCATTGATTGGCTGCCTCCTACATAGCCACCACTAGTGATTGAGCCCACAACCCGGACAAGTGCCCTTGACGGGAATGGAACCCAGGATCCTTCAGTCCACAGACTGACACTCTGTCCACTGAGCCAAACTGGCTAGGGCTCCATGGATTTTTAGAGAGAAAGGAAGGAAGGGGAGGAGGGTGGAGAGAGAGAGAGAGAAAGAAAGAGAAAATCAGTGTGAGAGAGACACATCCAATGGCTGCCTCCCTCTCGAGCTCTGACTGGGGCTGGGGATGGAACCTACAACCCAGGTACATGCTCTTGACTGGGAATCGAACCCGAGACCCTTGGGTGTGTGGGCCAACGCTCTAACCACTGTGAATACTAGCCAGGACCTCCCTTGGTTTCTTCATCTGTAAAATGGATTGTTGAGAGGCTCAAAGGATAAAATATAGATTAAAAGTGTTCACTAATTCTCAGGCACTGTATGAATGTTCCTTGTTAGTTTCCTGGTGAACTACTCTCCTCTGCATACCTCTTCTCCTTAATGTGGCCCAACTTTTAAAATAGGATCCTAATAATTTATTTGTAATCATAGTTATAACAGTAACTAACCTGTATCAAATGTCTACTCTATATACATTATCCCAGCTCCTTCACGTAATCTCTCTGAACCTCAGTTTTCTCATCTGTAAAATGGAAATAATACTAATATCTACTTTGTGACTCAAGTGGTGATTAAATGAACGAATTTAGCATAGTGCCTATCACATTTAGTAAGCACTCAAAAAGTGTTGGAATTATAAACATAATATTATTCCATTTAATTCTCATTGCTCTGTGAAGTAAGTAATACTTTTATCTCCATTTGACGGGTGAAGCATTTTGGATTCAATGAGATAAGTACATGCCTTAGGTCACCCAACTAATGTTTTGCAGAATTAGGATTCCATTTGAAGCAAGAATTGCATTCACTATGGGCTTCTTAGTGGGATTGTGTCATGTAGCTACGCCAAAGGCCTAAGTTAGTGATTCTGGCACCCAGGAAGGTTCAGTTCAAGTCAGAAACCACTTGGTATTTGTTATTTACCAGGTTACATAACTGTTATGAGTGAAGACAAAGACTTTAGTCACAGGAGTTCAGTGTTCATTCGCAATATTAACCATGAGTCCTGTTCTTGGTACAGCCTCCCTGGTCTTCCCCTTTGCCCAGTCCTGTTCTTAGGGACTAGGTGACTTTTTCCATCTCTGCCTCAGCCGTCTCCTTCATCTGACCTCTACTTGCCCTCCCTGGGCCAGGCCTCAGAACCCATCATGACTCAGGTCTTCTGAGTTATGATTGCCCAACTCTTTGTTGGCTAATGCCACTTCCTTCATCATCTGTCGTGTCCGTGGCCACACATTACACAGGTGCACTTCACTCTGCTGGGTGAACCATCACACACAGGTAGTGGGCATGTTATTTTATATCAGAACAAGGCCTGTTCCACCCTTAGCTGAAAATCCCCTGAGGGCAGGGACCAGATTGTTTCGTGTATTTGTAATCCCTCCCCTCTCTCAAGAGAAAAAAAATGTCTACACCTAGCACTTTTCTAAAGAAGGAAGTGGGCGGCCTCCCTACGTTGTAGCAGAGGTGAATTAGGAGAGCAGGCAGGATTCCAAATGGGTGGGTGAGGCCAGAGGCCCTTCAGAACACTAGAGGGAGGCCAAGCAGAGTGCCCATTTACATAACACCGTTTGCTTTTCAAACTAATCTTGTAATTTTTTCGTAAGGGTGACCCCCTACTAAGCTATCCCTGCTCTGAAGGTCCTTGCAGATAGGGGCCTAACTTACCTTTTTAATAATAGTAGAACTTAACTTGGCGGTTACATAGCTGTGAGAGGCCAGTGGGAATAGCATAACCGGACTTATTCTCATTCGCTCTTCAGACCAAGCCAGTGGAGGAAGCATTGACTGGGCCTATGACTCTGGCATCAAGTACTCATTTGCCTTTGAACTGAGAGACACGGGTCGGTACGGCTTCCTGCTGCCCGCCAACCAGATCTTACCCACAGCCGAAGAGACCTGGCTTGGCTTGAAGACAATCATGGAGCACGTGCGAGACCATCCCTATTAGGGCTCTGGGGGAATAAACACCATTAAAAGCTCTCCAGTTTGAAACAAAGTCGGGCGTGATTATTTCTTTTTCGAGTCCTGATTTAGGAGAATTAGTTCTTCAATTTATGCTGTCCTAAAGTAGAGTAAACCACTGAGCTGTACTCCTTCATCTTTAAAAAAATACATATTCTTAGCAAAATGCTCCCAATATCCTTTCAACATTAAAAAATGTGGTAATCGCCGAAACCGGTTTGGCTCGGTGGATGGAGTGTCGGCCTGTGGACTGAAGGGTCCCGGGTTCGATTCCGGTCAAGGGCATGTGCCTGGGTTGCGGGCGCATCCCCAGTGGGAGATGTGCAGGAGGCAGCTGATTGATGTTTCTCTCTCATCGATGTTTCTAACTCTCTATCTCTCTCCCTTCCTCTCTGTAAAAAATCAATAAAATATATATATTTAAAAAAAATGTGGTAACATAGACAAATCATAAAATTTACCATTTTAACCATTTCTAAGTGTACAGTTCAGTGGCGTTGTACAGTGTTGTACAATTATCACCACCATCCATCTCCAGAACTTTTTTTTATCATCCCAAACAGAAACTCTGCACCGGTTGAGCAATAACTCCCTGTCCTTCCTCCCTCCAGCCTCTGGTAACCTCTAGTCCACTTCTGTCTCTATGAATTTGCCTATTCTATGAATTGAACCCAGGACCCTTCAGTATTCTAGGTACCACATATAAATGCAATGACATGGTATTTGTCCTTTTGTGATTGGCGTAGGTCACTTAGCATAATGTTTTCAAGGTTCATGCATACTGTGGTATGTGCCAGCTCCTTCATCATAATAGAGCAGTGTTTTAGAGCTAGAAAGGGACTTTTGAGTTCATGTGTTCAAGAAGTACTAATTAAGCAGCTACATTGTTCCAGGCACTATGGTAGGTACGGTGTCATCTGGTTCCATTATTTGCTTTTCCATTCCTGGGATGCTGCACTATAGGAGCTGGTGGGGACCCAAGCCAACAACACCCCTTTCTGGTTGCCCTATAATTTCCCTTTAGACACTTACTCCCATTAGGGGTTTCGATTTTCTTCATGTGGATGGTTTTCTCTGGAAGAAAAGGGTGGGAAGTGAATTCCAGCTTTCCTGGAATTCTGGGCACTTGATTCTTTAGCTCACATTTCTCACAGGTTCAGGTCTCAGGCTCTCTTTTTGGTAATTTTAAAGCTGAAATTCATCTTGGCGAAGGAGAGTCCCAGTCTTTGTGATGGACCAGGGTGGGAATAGGAGCTCCCTTTCAGTGTGGGAAGGGTAAGAGAGCTCTGATGGGACCCCAGACCCACAGCTCCTGATAAACACCCTCCTTGACCAAACCTTAGATAGACTTCTCTGAGTCCTTTAAAAAATATATATTTTTTAAAAAATTGATTTCAGAGAGGAAGAGAGAGGGGGAGAGAGAGATAGAAACATCAATGATGAGAGAGACACATTGATTGGTTGCCTCCTGCATGTGCCCTGACCAGGGTCAGGGATGCAGCCTGCAACCAAGGTATGTGCCCTTGACCAGAATTGAACCCAGGACCCTTCAGTATGCAGGCTGATACTCTATCCACTGAGCCAAACTGGCTAGGGCTCTGAGTCCTTTTTTTGACTAGGCTTACCCTGGGCCCTAAGTCATTCTTAGCAAAGAAATCTGCTAAGGAAGTCATCCCCCAGTATTTGATATCTGATCAAGTTCCTTATCGTCCACTTGTGACGTCTCAATCCTTGGCCTGCCTTTAGCAAGAATCCTGTTAGGTCGGTTAAGCGAGTATCCCCCCTACCCTTGATGTCTCCTCTTAGCAGTTGTCCATCCACTGACTCCTCACTCTGCTGTCTTTACTGTATTCGGAGTTGAACACAATTACTCTTCTATTTCATGACCCCTACTGCAATAATTTTGAATAAAGTCTTCCTTACAATTTTAACAAACGTGAGAATAATATTTTTTTAATAGTCCTAATCATGACCCTTGGTTGTCTCCACTCCCCTTAGCAAGTGCAGAAAGTGTAGATCATAGGATGGGGGAGGCTTGTGGGATCTGGGGCTCCCAGAACAGACTCAATGGCCTCAGAGCCCAAGAAGAAGTCATGGAGATCACAAGTGTTTTCCGTTTATTCTGCTGTGACGTGGTGGCCAGGACACTAGACTCAGAGTCCAGCAAATGTACGAAAGTTTTATTCTTAATAATACTATTAAGACTTCACTTGAGCTCAGACCCTAAGGAAAACAGATAATTGATTCAGACTAACACATTCTTCCTGTACCCTCTACCTCATATAATTCTACTTTCTTCCTGGAGTCCTAAGGATTATGTGTCAGATTCATAGCAGAGGCCACAAACTGTCATTGTTATGACCTGCTCTGGGGGATTCTCTGACAGGTTGTCAAATCTGTGGTCTTGGAGCTGGCTTGTGATTTCTTTGAAACTCTTCACTTAAAAAAAACAAAACTCTAGAGGTAACTCCGTGCTAGGTTTACAACCTGGCCTCTCCCATGACTCTAAATTTTAGTTGGCACTGTGGGACTTCCTATTTATTAAAAAAACACAATTTAAATACAGCGTTGAGCAATATGGTACCTTGGCACAGAGTTTTCCAGCCCGAGGAGCAGGTTCCTGATTCACGGTGATCGAGGCTCGCCTTTATCACTCAGAAGGAATGGAAGAGTCATGGGTAGGGGCCCACCTGGCTATCATTAGAGTTGAAAGGCTGCTTGGGAATCACACGACATTTTTGAGAACTGAGTTTGCCTCAGACTCCTTATAAATACAGCTTGACTCAGCCCCGGTGTGACAGACACCTTTGGGACATGAAGTGGATACTGTTCTTTGGGGCCCTTATCGGGCCCAGCATCTGTGGTCGAGGGAAGTTTTTTGGGTAAGTTCCCTGTGGACTTATTATTCCTGCTTGGTTAGTTCAGAGATATGGGAGGCAAATGAATTTGGAAATGAATGGCTGATGATACTTCAGGCGGTTTGGCATGGAGAAAAACGCTCTGGGCTCCAGGCCCAGCTCTGCCCTGTGCCATCCTGGCCAAGTTACTTGTCTCTCAGGCTCAATTTTACCTGTGAAATCAGGACTAGGTAGTCTCTGCAGCCCTCCCTAGCTCCCTAGCCTCCTGCCAACTAGTTTTCTTTCTAGTTCTTATTTGTCCAGTCAGTTCCAGGCATCTCCTACTTTCTTACTGCTATGTTATGAATTAACAAGAGTTACCAAAAATTGTTTCTAATTTCTGTCCTGCTTAAGGGAAAGCCTAGGTCTTAGGTGTCTTGGGTTCATCTCTCTGTTAACAGAGAAGGCTTAGTAGAGCTGGTGCTTTCTTGTTAGCAGCTGGGACATGGAGATTTGATAGGTCTTGCCTAGCCACAGCTCTGAAGATTGACACGCCAGGATTCACCTGTACACTGTGTACACGCATGCTCCACTCATAATGCTCTGTGGGTTGCAAAGGAGAGGACATTTGGGAGGTAGGAGAGATGAAAGGATGCCATGGTACCCTGCTGGAAGATTGGATTCTAATAACTCATTACTGCATAAATGCTTTGCCATTTGCAAAAAGCTTTAGCGCGCCTTATCTTTTGGATTACACAACAACTCTGACAGGCAAGGGTGTTATTTTCCTTAATTTAAACATGAAAAAAAACTCAGCTTCAGGAAGATTAAGAAACCCCGCCCAAGGCCACTTAGCTGGTAAGCAGGGGAGCTGGAACTCTGAATGCAAAAACCATACCCTTTGCTGTAACACAAAGTAATCAGATAGAATCCTATATCTCACTGATCTATCTATATCTACCCGCTCACTTTATTATACTATCTGGCTAAAGGGACTTTGGGGTTGTTTGCTGTGGTAATTGCATTAGGCCCCCCCTTATTTGTGAGGGTTGTGTTCTAAGACCCCCCAGTGGATGCCTGAAACCACGGACAGTACAAAATCCTATATATATTCTATGTTTTTTTTTCTTATACATACATACTTACGACACAGTTTAATTTATAAATCAGGCACAATAAGAGATTAACGATAATAACTAACAATAGAATAGAACAATTATAACAATATGCTGTAATAAAAGTTATGAGCCTGTGGTCTCTCCCTCTCAAAAGATTTTATTGTGCTGTACTCACCCTTCATCTTGTGATGATGTGAGATGATGTGAAGAGATGAAGTGAGGTACTCAGAACGGCGTGTAATTGAAAATGTATGAATTGTTTATTTCTGAAGGTTTTCATTTAATCATTTCAGGCGGCATTCTTGGGTAACTGAAACCAGGAAAAGCAAAACCCCGGAAAAAGGGGAACCACTGTACTTACATGAAATTGAGTAATTTTTATAGTGATGACTTCTGCTCACACCTGGTCTGTACTGCCAAATAGCTTCGAGGCGTTAGGCCCAGCAGGTGGCCAGGTAGGGAGACTTTTCCTCAGGCCGTTCCTGTTCCGTGTAATAACTAACTTGCTGTCAAGCGGGCTGACACCTGGAGCTGTTAGGCTCCTGCTGCAGCTATCCAGGTGGCTGAAAAAGCTTTATTTCTCAGGATACAGACTTCTCTTACAATACAGGGCACTGGGTTGAGACAGCTGGGCTGGGCCCTGGAGCCCTCACCACAGGAGTGGGCACAGAGAGTGTGCCTGGGCTCATTGCAGATGGTTTTAATCATTAGTGCCCAGCTCACCCCAAACGTGGTCTCACCCAATAGTACAGAACCCAGCAAAGGTAGTGGAATCCTTCCATAGACATGTCCCAGAAAGGGAACATTTAGATCAAGGATAAAGCTGGCCTCTGAGCATTTATGTGGATAGGAAGCCAGAGCACAGTTTGGCTTAGAGAGGGTACAGTGCTGAGGAGATGAAGATGATGGTCCCCTGCCCCCTTACAGCCTCCACCCTAGGCTCTGTTCTTTCTACTCAATTCCCCGACTTCCCTAGTCTGTCTCTGCTGGCGTCTTTTGTCTTGGTCTTCAGTCATTTTAAGGATGGGAAGGTGGCCAAGATGCCTAGAGATGTGGGGCAGGCAGAGAACAGGAAGTAGTTGTAGAACTAGTTGTAGCATCAACTGTAGCTGGCAGGCATTTAAGAGTTCTGGGCATCCGCCTCTCAGTATTCATGGTAGATGCTAAGCCTGGCTGGGGATGCAGCTAAGAAAGGTACAAAGACCAGGCCACTTGGGGAGGGACAGAAGCTCCACACCAAGGGGACTGTTGACTGTCCAGAACATGGGTCAAGTGTGAAAGAGTGAGAGGGGCTCACCAACCATTGTGTAGGCAACAGTGGGACAGCCCTGGGTATCGGAATGGACCAGAGTTAGCAAGAGCTGCAAGAATACCTGTGTGGAGTAGAGGGGTGAACCTGCATATCCCATCATATCTCCCTTCCCAGGCCAATCTTCCATAGTTAGAATGAGCTGAAGGTCTTCGAATGGATTTCCAGATGGTGGACATAGGTTGTGTCCAGCCACCCACACTGGGAAGGGCATTTTCCCAAGAGAGAGGAGGACAGTGAGGACAAGAAAAAGGCTGCTCTTCACCTGGCGCCCACTTACGCTCCAGATTTTGATGGGATCTTTGTTTTACTATGGTTGCAGATATCAAAAAATTTCTATATGTGACACGGCACCAGAGTTAAGTTAGGGTTTTTCAAAATGCTGACAGGCCGAGCTCAAAAGGTTCGCCATCACTGGTCTAGGCAGAAGGAACAGCATGTGCAAAGGCATAGAAGGGCAAAGTACGTGGTGAATTTAGGATTTAATTGAGGCTGGAGCCAAGAAGGTATAGGACGGAGCAGTGGAGAAGAGATAGATGGGGAAGGACCCTACCAGCCCTTTGTCGATGTAAAAAATGTCCAAACCTGTAGAGAATTTTCATATAAGTTGTTCTGAGTTTATTTGAACCAAACGGATGACATGCCGGGAAGCAAGCTCTCAATTGCTCCAGAAAATGGCAGTTTTTGCAGTTTCTTTTATATATTAGGAATTAAGGAGGAAAGGTAAGGAAGATTACATGAAGTCAGGGATTACAGGATAGTTAACAAGATTATGTGCTCCCTTGAGGGGTCTGAAGCAGAGACATTCAAAGGTGGGTTAACCTGGAGGCAGGAGAACAATGGACAAGGTTTGCTTAAGGTGAAGGTAAACCTGTTAGAGATCCCGACGTGACTATCTTCCAGGACTTGCCCCGTTAGGAATTGCTGATCAGATTACTCTCTGAGGTTCCGTTTGGTTAGATTGCAGAGCCCCCTTTTTTTTGTCCGCGTCTTCCCTGCTGCCTCTCTGAATACTACAGCTGTGTGTCTTTAACCTCTGTAGCTGGGCTGCCTCGGGCGTGATGAAATGGGCTGCGAATTTAATCAGCAGCGCCAGTGAGGTTCGCTGTGACCCGTTGTCATGGACTCCCAGGGTATGGAAGTTCTGTGCTGAAGTAACCACTTTAGAAAAAGTAAAACAAATGCTCTGGGTGAATGCGTAACATGATTTCGATAGTTCTGAGAGCTCTTTATTTTTACGTTCCTCTCTTTCTCTCTTCCTGTACTTTTTCTCTCCCCGTGCTTTGTGATTGCTCTTGTCAGTGCTGTATTTTACAAACGCCTAATTTGCCAGTATCAGCGCACAGGCACTTTCTAGAACACCACTTGTAAGACGTTCTTTTCCTGGAGTGTTGGGGGTGGGTTGTGACAGAGCCTGGGCTGGGCAGATGGGCCCTGGGAATCAGCCAGGAGGAAGGATTTCCCTTCTGTTGTAAACCCTTCCCTTTTGGCGAGGCTGCCTGCCTGTGTCAGGGAAGTGGTGGTTTGACTCCTCATCCTCCCAGGGCTGCAGGCCCATGCCTAGCAAGCCTGTTGGGTTCCCACTGAGACCTGCCCAGCCCATGGCTTCTCCTCTCTGGCCCCAGCAGCACCCAGGGACCCCATTAGCTGCCCACCTCCCAGGACCCTTCGGAGACTGGATGAGTTGGGAGGAAGCGGGCCTTTGGCACTGGCATTTCCTCCAGACCCACCACCTGCAATGGACCATGCCTCCCTGGGCTGGACTAGACCTCCCAGGGATCCTGGAGAACCTCACAGAACAAAGTGACACCCTGAGTCCATCCGGATTGAGCTGGCTTTCTGATGAGGAGATGCCGAGCTGCCACGTGAGGCTGCACGTTTAGCTCCCTGTGACAGAACCATTTTCTCTGTCAACAGGTCCTTCAGCCCACAGCTCTCTCCACCAGCGCTTCCTGCATTCATTCGTGTCAAAGGGATGACGCATGTGACAGCGTTGAGTGCAGATTCATTCGGCCCGTCACCTAGCAACGGCCTAATGGCTCCCCTGGCTACTTGAGCCGGCTGAGAGCACAAAGGCAGCTTTTCAGGCTCGTCCTTCTCCCACCCACACACAGGACTTCGGGGGCCTCTACCCCTGCTGCTGTCGTGGATGCTAAATGGTGTACATGAAACAAGTGCAGGGCAAATGACCGAGGGGGGCTCGGGGCCGGCTGGCTCCCTCTGGGCCCTCTCAGGGCCCCCTTAGGAGGATTGAATCCCAAGTTCAGCCCCAGCACCTTGGCCTTTATCTAATTCAAATTTTTATAGGGTCCTGGAGCTGGACGAGATCAAAAGAGCACCCAGTCTCCCCCCCTTTTGCTAAGAGGAAAGTAGCTAACCCTTCAGGGACGGGAGTTCTGTTCTCTTTTCTGGCTCTTTCCAGCATGGACCTTGGGCCAGAGTTTCTTTCTTAAAAAAAAAAAAAAAGGAATTGAATTAAATTTAATTTTTTTAATTGAATTTATTGGGGAGACATTGGTTCACAAAACCAAACTCAGCAAAACATCCTCTGCACACTGCATCGTGCGTCGGGCCAGTTTCAGTCTTCGCCCCTGACAGTGAAGAACTGCTTCTTTATGTCTTGAGTTAGCTTTGCGTGCAACTCAGGAACATTCCTTTCTGCAAAAATATATATGTTTTTCATTATAAAGTAATATGACCACATTACAGAAAACAGATACAAGGGGGGAAAAAGTCAGTCATCCATAATTCCACGACCCGAACATAAGCACTGTCAGCATTTGCTAGATTTCCGTTGTCTGTTTTTCTTCCAATGCATCTGCTTTTTCCATACTTGTGATCATGGCATACATACAATTCTGTGTCCTGCTCTTTCACTTAATATTTCCCTTAAAGTTATACCATAAGCACTTTTTCATATTAGCCACGTAGTCTTGTTTTTCATGGCTATACATTATAACCAAAGGCTAGACCATTTCCTCTCACTCGGTGCAATTATGTCTGGGATAGGAGGCTGGGGCTTATTTGCCAGCTGAAAGCTCACCATTATCTTTTGCGTCTCTCTCTCTCTCTCTTTTTTTTCTTCAGGGATCAAGTTTTTAGGATTAACGTCAGAAATGGAGACGAGATCAGCAAACTAAACGAGCTAATGAAATCAGACAACTTGAAGGTACCTGATTCTTCCTAATCCTCTTGGGTATCTCCTAATTTTGGTGGGAGAAGACTTGCACCCCGGCATCATTTCTGGCGTTTCCGTCCTGGTCGATGTGCATTTCCAAGATGGCGAGGGTTGAAGGGGGCGAAGTGGTGCACATCATAATGGTGCTCGGAAGTGGGAAGCCTCTGCCGTGGGCTCCATCTTCCCATCTGCCATTGACTTATTATTTCTTGGGCTTTGCCAGGTATTGCCTGCTGGACAGGTCTGACCTGATCCAGTTGTGAAATAGACAAAGTTTGCTTTCTTGGGCAGAACCCAGCTCCTCAGGGATCACCCTGTCTTTTGGCAGTTGTTCTAGAAGAAGGAGCTAACTCATTATGCTGTTTACCCGAACTGTCCTTTAACCTGGTTTCTCTCTGTTACCTTCAGCTCAACCTCTGGAAGTCTTCCTGTTCCTTGGGTCATCCTGTGGATGTCCTGGTCCCGGCTGTCAGTCTGCAACCAGTCGAATTCTTCCTCAAGTCCCAAGGCTTAGATTACTCAGTGACAATTGAAGACCTGCAGGTGGGTAGACCAAGGCTCCTGACTTGTCTTGCATAAGACAAAGCAGCCAGAGTGGACCTGAGGCACATTTCCAAGTTCTGGTCTTATTTTTCTCCATTTTACAGATGAAGACATTGAGGTTTATGGCCGTAAAGTGCACTGACTTGTTAGAGGCGCATGTTGTGGTAGGAGGGGCATGGTAGAGTGGGGAATCAGACAGATCTGGATCCAAATCCTGATTTTGCCAGCTACTATTTTTGTGACTTTGGACAAGTTTTTAACCTCTTGAGCCTATTTCTTCATTGGTAAAATGTTAATAGTGGTAACTACTTCGTAAGATTTATTGAGAAAAGTGATTAAGTGTATGTAAAATGTCGAACAGCGCCTGGTATGTCAGAAATGTCCACAAGTATTAAGTCTCTCTCCCTTTCCTTATTTGAAGCCAGGAGGGAAGAACAGAGTAGGGTGGGTGTTGGAGACCAGTCATAAAAAGCATCCTTTGAGAAGGGGGGACTGTCACCAACAGCCCCCAGCAGAGGGAACACCACCACCCTAGCCAGGCACCCGTCTCACGACCTGTATTTAAACAGCAGGACGGTGTCTGGCTCGTGTTCTCCCCTTCACCGAGGTAGGTTATGGACTAATTGGTGATTTGGCCCGGGAGTTTCCTGATGGCGAGAGCAGCTGTGAGCTTATTAATCATCTTCACATGTCATAGACATCTGCCAGGAGCCTTCAAAGTATGAGTGGTTATAAGAATTTCTTTGTTTCTGAATGGTTTCCCAAGCTGTGTATTTCAGAGGCACTGGATACCAGATGCGGGCTCATGTCTAGAGAATTCATAGTATAGAGTAACAAAATAGCATATATATTGCTCCCAGGGCGTGAGTGAGTTTTGAATGGGGTGATGTACAATGGGCCCAAGGAGTAAGGTTTTATAGATACGTGGAAGATATCCGACCTCCTTTACATCTTGGCTTTGGGGTTGCTTGATCTTTGTGCCAAAGGTGCCGCCATCTTGGCGGGCTCATGGTCCACGACATGGCAGAAACAACGTGCATCTCCATCTCCAACAGACCACTTCACCGTGTTGCCATCTCTGTTTTAGGCCCTTTTAGATAAAGAAGATGAAGAAATGCAATACAACCAAGAGCAAGAACGGAGCAGTAATAACTTCAACTACGGGGCCTATCATTCCCTGGAAGCTGTAAGTGTTTCAGAGGAGGTTAAGATCAAGGTTATCGCTCTCCTGGGTTTTGTGACCCCTTTCCTCACTTCCAGGAGGGACTCATCCTCAGCATGGCATCCCTTCACTGTGGGGCTAAAATGTGTGCACTTGGATTCCTTCCTGATTCTTGGGTTGTTTAACGCTCACCAGCACCTAAGGGCACAGTGAAAAGACAAACCACATTTTCTCCCACATGCATCCTTCTTCTCTTAACAGCCCCTTAAAGAAAGCAACCCCTTAATGAAATAATGGCAATCACTTCCAGTGCTTGTAAATTAATCTTCTTGTACCCCATCATAATCCTTGTATTTTATTCACCTATGTTAAAATGTTACTTATTCTAGGCAAATAGGTAAAGTGATGATTCCAAGGTTAACCAAGTATTTCCACTCATTTATCATGACTACTGAGAATATGTATTTGTTCCATAATGTATTTTGGTGCTGTGTTTATTTAGAAATCGCTTTATATAGATGACTGACTTTCAAGGTAAGCCAACCTTTCAGATGCAAAACTTGGAGCAGAATAATTTAATACGATTAATTGGAACTAGGAATCAAGAAGAACTAATAGAATGGAATTGCATCACATACAATACCGTTCTCTTATGTGCCTCAGTGTCTTCTTCCTTAATCTGGAAACTACTAGCTTCGGATCACACGCCAATTTAAATTGGTATTTGCCTTCCTATACCTCAATGGACGTTGCTCTTTATATCCAAAGATGGTGCCCCTGGCATGCTGGTCATGGGGCGTATACTCTGAGTTGTTTTTCTTCTAGTGAGGGATTATTTCAGGGCTGACCAACTGTTTGCACTTCCTTCCCAGGATTATCAGTAGCTTTGTTTATTGTGTACCCTTCCAACTGCATCGCCCCTTGATCCTTCTTGTGACCAATGACATACATCTGCACAACAGCTGGACTAAGTTAGGAGTTCAGACCAGGGCCACAAGCGAAAGCAGAGCTCAGGTCCAAACAGGGATTAAGCCCATGATGTCAGCTTCAGCAACACGGGGCACTCCCTAGCTGAGCTAACCGGTTGCAAATGTCACCAAGACCCTGGGAACGTCATCGCCCGCTTGCCTGCTGCCGGAGCCTCACTTCCTCATTCGCTGGCTTTTGGGTTTTGTTCCCTGGAGTTAGGTGCCATCGTTACCCGTTTTACAGATGTCTCTTGTTCCCTGAGAGGCCTTTTACTGTGTATTGGTGTACCATCATCTCCTCCTGGCTTGATTAGATTCAGTTTTTTTTTTTTCTTCTAAAAACAGCTTTTAAGAGCTCATCTCCTACAACCACTTAGGTCTTAGGTCTCTAGCGGGGATTTCATGTTTGTTTCTGCCAGGGTTTCTAGTTTCAGGCCATTTGTGTGTGTTGGGGTTGCTGTTATTTTCGTTAGTTTCTCAGGCGAGTTTTCCCCCTCCAGTCTGGACCCATGAGGCGGTTTGACTTTTCCGGGGTGACTCTCTTTCCTCTCGTGGCTCAGGGTAGGCATCCTGCTTTGGCTCCACTTTCTAGGGTCAGTGGATAGAGTTTCCAGGCCCTTTTCATGGCCCAGTTGCCATTTCCCAGCTCTCAGGTTCTAGCTCCTTGCCGCACACCACACGTCCTGTGCCCTCTATTCCCACTCCTGCTTTGCTGTAAACCCTCAGCGGCTGAGGCAGATGTGTGGGCTTCATCCTCTGCCCCCCACTCTGTCAGCTTGTTCCCTCTTCATTCCTGGCACCTGCAGTTTCCCCCTTTTCTGGCGTTTTAACTTGGCTGTGAGTAATTTTCATTGTATTTTATCTGGCTTGCCTATGTATTTGAGGGATGGTTTCTTGCTTCAGTTTGCCACGGTGAATGCAACTCTTGGTAAATCCTTTAAGCTTGATTTTATTCTCTGTGTTGATTGCCCATTTTCCTCCTCTGTAAAGTCCTTCTTCCAGTTTTAAGGTCTAAATATGAATTTGTTTATTTCCTTTTTTTTTGACCCTCAAAAGGTTTGAGCAACTAAGGTGGATGAAGGCTATTTAACTCATTCCTAGCCACGATCAACAACTTGTTCTCTTAAAGCCTTCCGAGGAATCACCTCCAAACTGAGTGCCTGTCCACTGGAAGCAGGAAGAAACGATTACCACTTCTACTTATATCTCTACATATGTATAGTGCATGCTAATATATATATTTCTTAAGTATATTTTTATTGATTTCAGAGAGGAAAGGAGAGGGAGAGAGAGATAGAAACATCAGTGATGAGAGAGAATCATTGATTGGCTGCCTCCTGCACACCCCTTACTGGGGATTGAGCTTGCAAACCGAGCATGTGCCCTTGACTGGAATCGAATCCAGGACCTTTCAGTTCGTGGGCCGACACTCTATTCACTCAGCTAAACCAGCTAGGGCCATGCTAATATTTTTTTTTTTACTAATGGAGAAAGTGATCAAAAAAGTTTGGAGATTTCAAGAACCTGGGCTACCCTGGGCCACGCTGTTGATCCAGTCCAGTATGGTCCAATATTGGAGCAGTGGACTAGTTTAGTGGACTATAATTTTGTGGATGGACACAAATGTACTATTTTCTAGAAAATTGTAGAAAAGGACTCTTTAGGCAGTTCTTTAAGAATAAGCATTCCGTGCCAATTGTATTGTCAACCCCATGGTTAGAAGGCTGGAAGAGATCGTTAAGATCATCAACATAAAGTTCACAGATACCTACCCAGAGCAGAACAAATTTTTTAAATGCCTCTCGGTTCACTTTCTCACGCTTCAGATTTACCAGGAGATGGACAGCATTGCTGGAGACTTTCCTGACTTGGCGAGCAGGGTGAAGATTGGGCATTCGTTTGAAGACCGGCCAATGTATGTACTGAAGGTAAGGCCCATGTTCTTTGAAGGGCCGAGCTAGACACGGGCTCCTGGTTCCTTGTGCCCAGGACCCAACCATCAGGCCTCTGCCAGGGCAGCTTCTTAGGACCTCCATGACTTTAGGGAGGAAGGTGAGGTTAGAAGACATCAATATGGGTTCAAATTTGGTCAGGCAGGCAGTCTCCTACTTGCGCATTCTCATTCCAGGTTTCGGCTAAAAGGCAAGATTAAGGGGATGTCTTGGGGCGGGCGGAGGTTGTGGTGTGGGTGTGGGGCTGGAGGAGGTTAGTATTCTAGAAAGCTCTCACTACACACAGTCTTCTTCCTTCAGTCCCACCTTCTGTAAATAGCAAGACAAATTGGGATAGTTCTACAAATTCCATCCTGCTTCGAGGAGTACTTATTTGAAAAGCAATCTAGGAAGCTAATTTTAGGGCTGATGTAATTTTAAGCCCAGCCTCTGATCCTTGGCTGCACAAAGCCGAATTTCTAGGTATTTCCAACAGATTCAGGTCTATTTTGGCAGAGGAGGTAGATAATTTATGGCAGTAACACAAATTACATAAATAATCCAGCCGAATGAATAAAAAAGAATTTGGAGATGTGAATGACTGAGGATGCTAAGAATGTGTCAACCTCTAGCTACATATCAGCCCCGAAGAACCGAGCTTATAGCAATGGGTAAATTACCAGCAGGAGGAGACCTGCGCTGAGCTGTTTGCTAAAATAACCTTCACAAATTTAGAATCTTTGCCCATCTGATGGAGACCCTGGCTTCATTAGCACCGAGCTCTGTCAGGTAGGGGAGGGGGCATGAAAAGGCAAGACCCAGAATTCATTTAGTGCCATTTACAGAGAGCTAGAGTGAACCCCCTCTTCCTTTTTTTAAAGCTGAATTCATTTATTGCATCAACCAGAACGGGCTGGTTCAGGCACTCTCGTCTCTCTCTGTTGGGATACCATTTGAGGTTTTTCAGGAGACACAATATTATCTCTAATCATACCCGCATTAGTTCACAATAGCAATTGTTTCCCTTCCCCATTTGCTTCCAACCCTGGAGCTGCAGCTGGGCCCGCCAGCCAGCCAGCCAATTAAGTTCCCTAGTCACTGATAAACTGATAAATAAATGGTGACCTCAGGAACATTTGGTCTCTGAATTGTCTTAAATTGATTCAGTGACTAGGAGCAAGCTGGAGAGAGGCGAGGTGGGCTGAGAACGGGGTCAGGAGGGTCATTTTCTGGTCTCTTTTTCCTTCCACAGTTCAGCACTGGAAAAGGCAGTCAGCGGCCGGCCATTTGGCTGAACGCAGGCATTCATTCCCGGGAGTGGATCTCACAGGCCACGGCCATGTGGACTGCGAGGAAGGTCATGTGCCCTGGTATTAGGCGAGAATTCTGGTGGGCCCGGGGTGCCCCTGCAGCCTCCCATGAAGCTGGGCCCAGGGGATAAGGTGGGAAGGCACAGTAGGCCGGGGGGCCATTTCATTTCAGAGAAGCAAAAGGGCAGAGCCCCTTGGTCAAGACTCTGTGGCTAAAGAGTGCATTCGTGGCAGAGGGCAAGCTAATGAGCTGCAGAGGTGGCCCTGAAACACTGACCCATAGTCAGCCCCGCAGAAAGGGAGCAGGGCCTTGCCAGCAGCAGCACTCAGATGAGCTTTGCCTTTAGCCCTTTGCCAGCCCCCCAGGCCCTCAGGGACCTCACGTTGTCTCCATGTCCCACTGGGAAGCCCTCTTTGAGCCAGCACTGAGAGGAGGGGGCGGTGGGTGGGGAGGATCCATCTGCCCTACCCCTAGCATGCGGGCTCAGATTCCTAATAACTGTCATGATGTGTGGCTCTCTGCTCCCCTGTCCCACCCCCTGGAAAGAGAGGATAAACCAGGCAGCCCAGGATCCTGCAGGTGATGGCATCATGCAGCCAGGCTCCCCCAGGCTTTCAAGTGCTCTGAGAGCCGCGTCTTCGATGGTGACAGGGAGGCTGCGGAGGGTGGATGCTGTTTTAGGAGCTGGGCATCTGGGGAAGATACACAGGCTCAGACCTAACAATCCAGCCTTCGAGGGACTCGCTGACACATTTATTATCTCTGCTTAGATTGTCTCTGATTACGGGAAGGATCCAGCCATCACCTCCATCTTGGAGAAAATGGATATTTTCTTGTTGCCTGTGGCCAATCCTGATGGATATGTACACACGCACACTGAAGTGAGTAATACCAAGTGGGCTGTTTGGAGTTAAGACTTGTTTGCTGAATTCCTTGCTTTGCCACTAAATAGTTGTATGGCCTTGGAGAAAACTTCCACCATGTGCATGTTATACGCTCCCTTGGGGTCTCATTTTCTAGTCATTCTCTGAGCTGAGACTCACCAGGGAATATTTTTTTCTTAGAGAGAACAGTCTAATGAACTTCCTACATAGATCTTGGAACAATTATTAACACCTTACCAATCTCTTTTTCATTTCTTTCCCTCCCACACATTTTTTTTTTCCTGATGTATTTTAAAGCAAATCCTAGACATCAGGTTATTTTACCCAAAACTTCTTTAGTACACATCTCTAGCTAATGTAGTTAAAACAAAGAAAGCACACCTGCCACTATCACCTTTAAAAAAGCAATGGAGCCCTAGCTGGTTTGGCTCAGTGGATAGTTCCCAGGTTCGATTCCGGTCAAGGGCTCATACCGCGGTTGCAGACTCCTCCGCGGCCCAGGCTCTTGTCAGGGCTCATGCAGGAGGCAACCGATCAATGTGTTTCTTTCACCTCGATATTTCTCTCTGTCTTTCCCTCTCTCTTCTGCTTTCCCTAAAAATCAATGGAAAAATATCCTTGTGTGAGGATTAACAACAACAACAAAAAAGTAATGGAAATTATTTAAGCCAATTTGTTGCAATTAGGATCTAAATGAGATTTGATCCTGCATTTAAAAAAATATATTTTTTATTGATTTCAAAGAGGAAGGGAGAGGAAAGAGAGATAGAAACATCAATGATGAGAGAGGATCATTGATTGGCTGCCTCCTGCATGCTCCCTACTGGGGCTTGAGCCCACAAACCAGGCATGTGCCCTTGACCGGAAACCGAACCCGGGACCCTTCCGTGCGTAGGCTGACGCTCTATCCACTGAGCCAAACCAGCTAGGGCTGATCTTTCATTGTAAAAAAAGATTTTTAAAATTGATTTTTAGAGAGAGGGAGAGGGAGAAAGAGAGAGAGACATCAAAGTGAACAATATTGATCTGCTGCTTCCTGCCCCTCAACTTCCTGCCCCCTACTGGGGATGGAGCCTGCAGCCCTGCAGGAATCAGGAATTGAACTGGCAACCTTTTGGTGCATGGGATGGTGCCCAACCAACTGAGCCACACTGGCCAAGGGCCTATACCTGCACTTGGTTGTTATGGCTCTGCAGACTTTTTAATTCCATAACAAGTAGCACTACTCCCCACCTTCCCACCCCTGCAACGCACACATACTTATCTTTCAAAAAATATCATTATTTTTTAGAGAAACCAAGTAAATTGTCCGGTAGAATGTTTCACATTCTGAATCTGCCTGATGTCTTCTTGTGTGCCATTTAATTTGTTCTCTTATTTCCGCATTCCCTGTTTTCTGGTAGTCAGAGCTAGAGGCTTGGTTGGATTCAGATTAAGTTTTTTGGCAAGAATGCAATAGTTGTGCACTTCCTATCATACTAGTGATCATTCAGGTGCAGAATGTTCATTTGTCCCAGTTTTACAGCAGCCAAAAGTTATTCAGTGGGTTCAGGTGCTGTCAGCCTGGGTCTTGCGTTATAAAATTCTCACGAGGGCATTTTGGGGGAGTCTTTCTTTCAGAACCAGAAGGGCTCAGCCTCCTCTTTTTGGGGCAAGAGGACAGGAGCCCTGATGATTCTCCAGAGAGAACTGTAAGCAGCTCGCGCCATCCATGGCGCCCGTTTCCATCTTTGGTCCCCAAAGAAAACCTTCACCTTGCTTGTGCTCTGGCTTATCTCTGGATGTTTGTTCCTTCCTTGGTGGATTTTTCAGAACCGACTTTGGAGGAAGACACGGTCCCTACGTCCTGGAAGCCCCTGCATTGGTGTTGATCCAAATAGAAATTGGAACGCCAGCTTTGCCGGTAGGTTGGGGAGCTGGTGTTCAAATCCTGCTCCCCCTGGGTAGCCTGGTCCACAGGGCTCCAAGCTGGCAGAGCGGGAGCCGGGTTCCAGGCTGGCTCCATTGCTGATTCACCGAGAGACGGGCGAATCCCTTCCGCCCTCCCCTCTGTGTCTCATTTTTCGGTTGTGTTTAAAAAGGAATTTTTTGTGTGTGTGATTTTGAAAGGCAATAACTTAGCAATTCCTGTCCTCCTGAGAGAACACTAATATTTAAAAACCATCACAGTCTGAGACATACATATCCATGCCTCTTCCTCGTACCCTGGCTGCCCCAGCTTGTCCTGGGCAAGTTACTGGGTGGGTGGAGGGGTCCTGGAGGCGACTCAAAAGAGAGCAGTTAGCACTTTTATTTTGGGTTTTGCTTTGTTTTTTAATCCTCACCCGAGGATATGTTGTTTTTTAAAAATCAGTATTACTGATTTTAGAGAGACAGAGAAGCATGGATCGGTTGCCTCCCATATGGGTCTGACCATAAACCTGGGATGTGCCCTGACCTGAATTGAACCCGCCACCTTTCAGTGTGTGGGATGATCTCCAACCAGCTGAGCCACACTGACCAGAGCAAGCATGTTTCTGTAACAGACAAGATCTTTTTAAAAAAATATATTTTATTGATTTTTTATAGAGAGGAAGGGAGAGGGATAGAGAGAAACATCAATGAGAGAGAAGCATCGATCAGCTGACTCCTGTACACCCCCCACTGGGGATGTGCCCACAACCAAGGTAATGCCCTTGGCCGGAATCGAACCCGGGACCCTCCAGTCCCCATACCAACACTCTGTCCAGTGAGCCAAACCAGCCAGGGCACAGACAAGATCTTGTGGTCTATCCTTAGATATATACATATGGGATGGAGAGAGAATAAGAATTAGGACACTTGGGTTGTAAGTTCCTACTGTTTAAAACCACTCTCACAATCTTGCCAACTGTGTGCCACGTACTTTCCCCAAGATTATTTTATTTACAATTCTTCCGACCTAGTGAGTGAATTTTCTTATCCGAAATGAGATAGTGGACAATCTTGAGTTTATGGTTGAGTTAGGATCTAAACTCACCGTACAATTCCAAATCCAAATAGTTCTCTTTCACTCTCCCACAGATGTTTTGCTCTTTTAATATAGTTCTTTTACTTGCCTAGAAATACCACACCAACCAGGGGGAGGGGGGAATAATGGCACTGGGAAAGGAGCCGATAAAAAGTTAGGTCAGAGAGTCCACAGCTGGAGGGTTTTACACACCGGATACCTCAGGGAACTATATTGTGAAGTAATATTGAAGACAGTGTTTCCAACACCTGACAAATAATCAAGAGATTTTAGCCACAACAATAGATTATTTTGGCAGTGCGTTGCCATTAAGATCTGAACCAAGAGAACAAGTTGACACCAGAATAAATGGAGTCATTTTCATTATTAATTGGTATTCATATTAATTATCTAGAATACTTATTAATTACATCTCATTGTCAAGTGTGATATTAATTATTCATGACAGTTGTTAATGATACAACACAAGGTCAACTACCCTTTTAAAGGAGCCCTGCCAGTTTTCTCTCTCAGCTGTGGCAGACCTAACACCCCGACATTCCACTCCTGCACACCATGGGCTAGGGGCATCTAACAGTGACCTGTCTATTGCCAGTACCTTCCGTCCATCCTTTGGATTGTGGATCCTTCATTTCTGTCTTTTTGGCCTATGGGGTTAATGTTTCTGCGTGGGCTGCCCCCAACAGGTAAGGGAGCCAGTGCCAATCCTTGCTCCGAAGTGTACCATGGACCCCATGCCAACTCAGAAGTAGAGGTGAAATCGGTGGTAGATTTCATTCAACAGCACGGGGGTTTCAAATGCTTCATCGACCTGCACAGCTACTCGCAGCTGCTGATGTATCCGTATGCGTACACCGCCAACGAGGCCGCGGATGCCGATGAGCTGGTGAGTAACGGGCTGCCTTCCGCCCAGCCCCAGGCCTGCTTTACCTTCAGCTGCTGCCAGGGTGGTTGCTCTACAGCTTTATAGGGAAAGTCTGGGGGCCTGGGCTTATTTCTTTAAGGGCCCAGGCTTCTTTCCCTGCCCATCAGACTTACTGGGGACAGGAAGCAGATGGTGCCCTTATTTCTGTGTTTGCTGTGACTTCCACGAACCACACCTGATCCATGTCTTTCCTTCTCACTTGTTGTTCTGACCAAAACTTATGCAGACCCACTGCTTGCCAAGAGCTGGGGTGGCATTGTGTTGGGCGAAGGGGAGGTGCTCCTCACTCCAGTTAAGGTGGAATTTAAGTAGGGTGTAGGCCACAGCGTAGGGGTGCTCTGTGTCTCATACAGTGACTCACCCTAGGATGTGACCAGGCATGGAGGGTGGACTGATGGAGTTGGGCTGGCATCTGCAGAATGACTGCAGGCCTCTCCCCCTGTGCTGGTCAGCTTCCACATGCCCCTCTGCCCAGGCCATAGCTGGCCCATAACCTCCCAGCAGACACAGGGCTCCTGGCTTGGTGTGGCAGATTCTCGTCTCAAGTAGGCACTCTGCATAGAACACATTGACACTGAGTGACCAGATTATTATGACCACCCCATCAGTACAATGAAGTGAATTAGTTATGCAAATAATAATAATAATAAAACCTTGAGAGTATTTGCTTAGGAAGTTTTCAATATTCAGTATTTTTGGAAGTGTCAATGAAGTACTGATGGGGTGGTCATAATAATCTGGCCACTCAGTGTATATATGGCAGCTCCACCTCTACCTTCAATCTGGAATACCCAACTCTTAGAAGGTTTTCTCTTGAACATACTTGGCCTTACCTCACGTTCATGAACTTGACATTCCCTTCCCTTAGGATAGGTGAAGATGGTGGTGCCTGTACTAGATTCCCAATGGGCTGGTGAGCAGCCCTCCAGGTCTTTGGAGAGCTGGAGGGTATAATACACATGCTTTCAGAATGCATATGCGTCTTATTTCACCTCCTTTACCCGCTCCCCCAACCTAGTAGTAAAGAACTGGGGTGTGATGGGAGATGGAATTCCCCTCATTTTGTAATCAGCCTTATCTTGAGTTGATTGGGAAAGAAGAGGAGACCAGAAGGGGAAATTGGGGGAGCAACTGAGAATCTTCCAGACCATTACCGTGCGGAACAGCTGAGGAACGTCCGACTGCGGGATCCACTCTTTCTCACTCCGCTGACTCCCCTTCCTAGGACGAGGTGGCAAGGCGTGCGGCTACAGCTCTGGCTTCCCTGTCTGGCACTCAGTACCGCGTGGGTCCCAGCGCTACCACTGTCTGTAAGTATTTATTCTTTATTTAGAAAAGGCTTTGAGAGGAAACTTGAGATGGAGCAGGAGAAGAGCAGCAAGTTAGACTTCCTCCACTGAATCTGATTGTCTTTGTTGTTAGTAATAGACTGAAGTTATGTCAAACCTGTGTGGTAATAGCTGTTGCAGGCAGTCATCTCCATCAACATCATCCCTACTGTCTCATGCCATTTATCATGTGCCCATGATGACTTGCCTGCCGGGGTGGCGTGGTCTACATTCCTTATCTTCCATTACAGATCCTGACATGGTTTATCAAAAATTCATCAAGCCCATCATTCCGTTTTCTTTTTTTCCTCCCCATCATTCCATTTTCAGTGGAAACCCACATTTGAATGGGCAGACTCCGGTGGTAGTAGTCGGTGGATGAGACTCCTTCACTTTGCTATCAGAAATGAACACGTGTTGGAGCATGGCAGGGTGGGAACTGGGTTAGGCTGTCCTCCCAACCGTGGTTAGCATCAAGCCAGAAAAAGAGAAAAAAACCACACCAAGACCCCAAATCTGAAGATGGTCTTGAGGCTCCACACCTACAACCTCAACCTCATTTTGAGGAAATACCTTTGTTTTGGTTTCTCACTGGAGTGTTTCATCTGAACAATTCACTCTATTCCTCTATTGCTTCCAGTCCCTATGTTTTGTGAGCCTGATTTCTAAATTAAAAATATTAAAGAAAACGATCATTCTCCAAGACACCAGCTATAAATGGGAAGAAATAAACATACAAATGTGGGGAGCTCAGCTCTGACCCCTTTTAAGTTAGTGTCCTTTTCCCCGCTAATGCCTCCTCTGTAGTTTCCAACAGTTGATCTACCCTCAGAGCCCCTGAAGACTTGTTGAAACTGGATTTGTTTCCTCCTCTGTACTGTAACCCACTCTCCCATTCTACCTGCTTTATTTTCCACTAGCTGTTCCCTTCAGTCTTCCTCTTCCGGGAAGATTCTTTTGATTGATTGATTGATTGATTTGAGAGAGGAAGGAAGAGGGAGAGAGATAGAAACATCAATGATGAGAGAGAATCATTGATTGGCTGCCTCCTGCAAGCCCCTTACTGGGATTGAGCCCGCAACCCAGGCATGTGCCCTTGACTGAATCAAACCCGGGACGCTTCAGTCTGCAGGCTGACGCTCTATCCACTGAGCGAAACCAGCTAGAGTTATGGGAAGATTCTTCATCTCACCTCCAAGGTCCTCTGATCTCAGCCCTCGTCTGTGTTTCATAAGTCACAGTGCTGCATAAGGCAGTTAGCATGATGTTGGTGTTTGTGTTGCTAATTGCAGCAACAATTCATTAATTATTCATGCTTTATTATTATTAGTGTTGTTAAATGGGAACTCCTCGGAGAATAAACACATCAGGGAGTTTCTCCATCCTCTGCTTAATTAGTCAGAATCGAGCCCTGGACCAAAGAGAGCTAAACAAACTGGGCAGGAACTCTCTGAGGAGGACCTCTCAAAAGATGTTTGTGGGTCATTGGGATCCTGACTTCTGGGTCAAATACCAGGTTAAAGAGTGGCCTTGTCCGCTCACATCAAACGCATTCTTCTCCCCAGCTTAGCTGGGCCAAAATCACGAGATACTCATCAGATGCCTCCAACAGAAGAGGAGGAAGGCTCCTTTGAGTGTTGTCCAGGAGACATATTATTTCCTACCTCTTTCAAGAGCCCATTTTCTGTATTCGTTATGGGCTTTGTCTGCCCTCTTTGCTTTCCAAAAATGTAATCAATTTTTGTATAATAACACTTGAACTCCGAGGGTTATGGAATATGCTATGCAAATGGTTGACGTTTGCCCTTTGAGAGCTGGACTTTTTCTTGGGTTTACCATTTTAGATGAAAATCATTCTAAAATCTATGAAAATCATTCTAAAACAGAATTCACATTTTCTTGCCTTTTAAAACAGATCATGTAGAAGAGACTTAAGTTCCTTTCTTTTTCTTTTTTCTTCTTCTTCTTCTTCTTCTTTTTTTTAAATTGATCTCAGAGAGAGGAAGGAAAGGAGAGAAAGATAGAGTAACATGGATTGACTGCTTCCCACATGCACCCCAACCGGAAATTGAAGCCACAACCTGGGTATGCGCTCTAACCCAGAACCAAACCTTTTGGTGTCTAGGACGATGCTAACACCAGCAGAGCCACACCAGCCAGGGCTAAACTCCTTTCTTTATGACTCAGTGGCCTCCTGAATATCAATTGTTATATCCTGAAGGCCTACTGTGCCCTTTTGGACTAGTTAATCCCTGTGTTAAACGGCCCGGCCTGTTTTGCCTCTTTAATTCTGTGTCTGCTTTTTAGAGTTTTCTTCCTCTGTCTCCTTCCTCTGGTCAGACTGTCCTGCTTTCAGGCCAACTGCCTCCAGCAACCCTTTCCTTTCCTCTTACTGATTTTGATCTACTAAGGGCTTGGAAACAAGTTCCCTGGGCTGGTTTGGCTCATTAGATTGTGGGTATTAAGGACGGCCATTACAGCATTGTTTATCGTCACAGAAGACTGGTAACCCACGAAAGACTGCTAAGCATTTACCTGTCCATCAGTTGAGTGCTGGGAAAAAAAAGCACATTTGGTGCATTCATCAGTGAAACAGTCCTGGAGTGAATGAGGTGGGCCTATATGTGCTAATAGGGAATAACCTTCAAATGTTAGTTAAGAAATACAGTGCACGGGACAGTGTAAATAGTATGATCCCATTTGTGTTTAAAGAAAAAAAAAGAGTAGATAGACTTTGAACAGGGACCCAAATAAAGTGAAGTTCATGAACTCGATCGCTTTGCTCAGTAGAGGCCTTCTTGCCCACTTCCTGAATTTTGAATGCTCTGAAATAGTTGAGCTTGCTGTGTATGTAACCTCTAGACACCTCTGGGGCCACGGCCTGTCTTTTTATTCAGCATTTTCTCAGGATGGAGAAAGGCTATGGAAACCGCACAAGGATTTCAGAGGGTGTAGGAGAGCGTGTCCCATCCTCTCAGGGAGCAGGTACTCAGTGGAACCAGCATCTCTAGAACAATCACAAATGGCATCATGAAAAACAACCCTCAGGAACAATGGAAAAACGAAAGCACCCATGTATTTATTTACCTGACATGTAACATACCACATGGACTAGAAGTAGGTTGAAGAAAGCATAGGCTCGATCACTAGATGGACTTGGATTTAAATTCTACCCTTGCCATTTTCCACCTCTATGTCCCTGTCCATTACCCATTCTAAGCCTGGGTTTCCACATCTGAAAAACAAGGACAATAATACCGACTCTCATTGGGGTTTTAAAGGTTGAATGAGATCATAAACATACACTTTCCAGTATAATGACTGGCTCCTGGTGGCTATGCAATAAGTGATCGCTGCTATTGGCATACTTAGTTTATTCAATGCTGTCTACACTTTTGCACTCTTACCCAATTTTTGCTCTGGTGGAGTTTGAGAAGCAGCAGGAAAACGGGTCTCTTGCTTTTGGCAGAGGGATGTTCCAAGGGCCGTGCTTTCTCCCTGGGTTTCAGATATCTCTTGCTATGTAAAAAGTTATCCCAAAACTTAGCAGCTTAGAGCAAGACACACTTATTTTTTTAAACTGTTTCTGTGGGTCAGGAACTCAAGAGTGGAGTAACTAGGTGGGTCTGGCTCGAGGTCTCTCATGGGGTTGTGGTCAAGATGTCTTCCAAGGCTACAGTCATCTAAAGGCTGGAGGGTGCTTCCTCTGTGGCTCCCTCAGGTGCCTGATTATTGGGAGGCCTCAGTTCTTCACCACATGAACCTCTTTTTAGGGCAGCTTGTGTGTCCTTCCTTACAGCATGACAGCTGGCTTTCCTCAGAGCAAGTGGTCCAAGAGCGAGCGAGGTGAAAGCCACAGTAGCTTTTATGGCCTAGCCTCGATGGCCCCACACCTTCATTTCTGTAGTCTTTTGTTAGTTACACAGGTCAGGTAAGCCCTAATCAGTGTAGGGGGCACTATATAAGGCAGTGATGGCAAACCTTTTGAGCTCGGCGTGTCAGCATTTTGAAAAACCCTACCTTAACTCTGGTGCCGTGTCACATATAGAAATTTTTTGATATTTGCAACCATAGTAAAACAAAGACTTATATTTTTGATATTTATTTTATATATTTAAATGCCATTTAACAAAGAAAAATCAACTAAAAACATGAGTTCGCGTGTCACCTCTGACACGTGTGTCATAGGTTCGCCATCACTGATATAAGGATGTGACTATTGGGGGACAAGGATCATTGGGGCTGTCTTGGAGGTTGTCTACTATACTCGGTCTCGGTAGAGATTGGTTTTGCGTGACCTGCAGGAGTCTATGGAATTAGTGACAAGTGGGAGATGAGGATTTAAAATCTCTTCATTTGAGACTAGTGAAGACCCTCATGCTGCAGACAGCCTGAGACATATGGATCAGGCCAGTGTCTGTGTCATAGGCCTAACGGTTTGCAGAAAGAACTCTGGGTCCCTGAAGAACCACAGGTAGGCAGAACTCCCGGCCCCTTCTCACTTAACCCTGAAAGAAACTGCGCTTCAAAGGTGTTTTCTCTTCTGATCTGCAGATCAAGCTAGTGGGAGCAGCGTTGACTGGGCGTATGATAATGGCATCAAGTATGCATTCACTTTTGAGTTAAGAGATACTGGGCACTATGGCTTCCTCCTGCCAGCCGACCAGATCATTCCCACTGCAGAGGAGACCTGGCTGGGGCTGAAGACCATCATGGAGCATGTGCGAGACCACCTCTACTAGATGAGGAGCCCGCTCTGTCTGCACTTATATATCCCCCATGTAGGTGCGCATGCTGAAGCCATATTAAAGGGAGATTATTCCTTCACATGTGCCAGAGCCCTCTGGCTTTGGAGAGGACAGAGGCCAGCCCCTCTCCAGTGCCCCTCCCTGAAGGTCCTACATTACGGTGGCACCTGAGAGAAGGGCTTCTGTCACTTGCCGTATTTTTGTCCTGTTGTTTCTCTGAACCCTTTGTATACCTTTCCTTGGGTCACTCTTAGGATCACCCCTTACTGGTGGCATGTCTCTACCTCATTTTTAGAACAAAAGGGTGTCTGAGATGGCTCTCTAACCTCATTCAATCTAGCCAAACCTGTGACCTTGCTCTGGTGGGGCCCCCAGGCAGGTGCTGTGGGAAACAGTGCGATTGGTCTCAAAGATGATACAGAACGAACTTCCTTTAATTTATCTCACTTCTTGAACGTGTTTTTCTTTGAAAAACAAATCCTGCATGGTCATCAGTATAGGTCATCTTTGCACCCCCCCCCACCCCCCCCCACACACACACTTTTTGTTTTTAAGTTTTTGGTCTGAATATAAAGTAGGTTGTCACTACTCATCACTGGGCCCCAAATTCCCAGATACTACAGTTCTGATAAAATCCTTTTTATTATGCAGTGTCACTGGGATCCCAGAAGGGCATCTGTGTCACTATAGGTACTGCTCACCCAGACACTCTGAATAAAGTGATGATCTAATAGCACTATTGCTAAATTATCCCCATCTGTCCTATGGGCTCACCTCCACTTCGCCTTTGAACTTACTTCAAAGATCTTGCCCTCACCCTACAAGTCCTAAATCACTCCCCTGGCCTGGGTAATCTCCCTTCTTGTGCTCTGGTACCTCGTGTTTCTTTCTTTTTGTGTGTGTGTCTTCTATTTTGCACCGTGGCCCAGGAGCACCACGGTGGAGCCAGGCTTCATCAGTCAGGCTCCACTTGCTCCATGCTGCCTTAGCGTGTTCCATCTGCACCTCCCCCACTTTTTTTTCTTTTTTCAAACATGTCTGTAAATCTTCTCCTTCTGCCTAGGATTTGTGCAGCATCTGGCGTGTGCTCATAAGCCAATAAATATTCAATATGAGTCCTATGATTGTCTCCTATTCTTCACCTTTACCTGAATAGAAGCAAGCCACGGTTTTGAATATGCAGCTCTTTATAACGTCAAAAGTTCATTTTAATCTCTGTTCTTATCACATGACGTGTAGGAAGACCTTCTCCATCAGGTCGAGGGGCCCCCAGGGCAGCGTTGCCTTGGTGATTTCGTTCTGGTGGCGAGTCTAGTTCTTCGTTTTTCAGCTCAGAAGCTTGATATTCTGTGTCCGTGTTGATTAGACTCAGGGATGCTGACTCACGCCTACAGAGCTCAGATGAGGCATGTGATAAAACCGGCATACGAATTTATTAATTTACATTACGGCATCTAACTATTTAGTGAATTGGAGCCTCACGTCAGCCTGAACAGTACATTCTCTCCCTGTAGGCAACATACATGGGAAGCCAAATTATAATCAGAAGGTTGTTTAGTGAGCGGGCCATCAGAGCGAGGAAAGTTAATTACAGTCTATGATTAGAATTTTTAATGGCATCCAGCTCTAATACACAATATATCCAATTCTGTAACCAGAACACACCTGCCAGCCAGCTAGCTGGTGCTTGTGCTGGCTGGTCAGGGCTGCTTGCGACCGGGCAGTGCCTCCTTAGGCATGACAGTACTTGCCTCTGTGACTCACCTGTAACCCGGCTGCATTTGTGCCCACCCACCCCCACCCCAAGAGGGAGATTGTCCTTTAGATTCCTTAAACAAAGTGTAGAAATCCATAAAAAGAATACCTGCAACTATAATAATATTGAGAACATCTGTTTATTAAAAGACACCGTACAGAAAGTTACAAAGTAGGGGAAGATATTCACAATATTCAAAATACACACAACAGATAAAGGCCAGATAAAGGATTCCTACAGATTAATAACATTATAAATAATCCGATAGAAGAATGGCCAAAATATAGGAGCAAGCATGTTACATAAGAGGAAACAGGTATATCTGATAAACATACGAAGAGATGATTATTGATAGAGGACATATAAATCAAGACCATGATGAGATTGCCATTTTATGCTCCTTTAATTTACAAAAGTAAAAAATGTGGGAGAGGGTGTGGATGATAGCGCTCATATATGCATTGTTGGTGAGCATGTGAATTAGTAGAAGCACTATGGAAAACAGTTTGGCATTACTTTCCAGAGTCCATACCTTCTGATCCAGTTATTCTATCCCAGGCACCGCCCCCCCCCCCATTCTTGCACATATATGACAGGAACACATATGGGAATGTTCATAGGAACACTGTTCCTAATAGCAGCAACCCCAAAATGACTCAAAAGTCCACCAGTAGGAGAATGGGTGAATAAAGTATGGTATTTTCACATACTGAAATATTACACAACAGTCAAAATTTAGTGTGATTTTCTTTCTAGAAAGTTCCAAATAACTGAAAAATGTATATCTTTTTAAGGAAGGTATACAAAATTTGATAAAACAGCATAAAGAGGGAAGCAAGGTGTAGGAAAAGTGCCCAGAGCCCCTTTTCCCGGTCAAGTGCACTGATCCCTAGTTGCTATGAGTGTTGGCTGCCAACAGCTCAAGGCTCTTCCCCCCTCTGGAGAATCGCCCTTAGCCAACTGGGGCTGCCTCACCCAGGAGGCTGTGCACCTGCTTTCCCTATATCACCTCCCCAACGGTCAGTCAATGACTGACTGACTTGGAGCTACAAAGAGCTAGTCTTTTGCCTCAAGGTGGGTCAATGCTATAGGGCAACGTGTGCTCCCACGCTCTGAATCCAGTCTCCAGCTGTTGCTACACCCTTGCCTGGCTTTCCCCCTGCACCACCCTGCTTCCCGAACTCCTCTTCTTCTGAGCACTCCTTCAATAAGTCACCTAAGTAAGAATCCCATCATCTCAGGCTCTGCTTCTAGGGAAGTTTCTTAGGACAATAAGAAACAAAGAACATGGGATTCTGAATATGATGACCTCAGATGAGGATAGGCAGGGGGATGAGATGGAGATCAGGGCCCTATGGTTAGATGAAGGACCCTAGATTTTGTTTCAGGTTCTGTTTTTTAAAACCCCTAGTTAAGTAGCAAAATAAGTAACAAAAGAGGGCTATACAGGGATCACCGATGAGCGTGCCATGAACCAAGGATTATGATTAATCTATTTCTGTGGACCTGAAATCCAATTTTAAGAATGTTTGTAAAAATGCAGATTTTCACACAAAAAGGTGTTATTATTCAACATGCCTTTATTGAGTGTTTAGTGTGTGTCAAGAACAATTTTAGATGCTGGCAATGCAATGGTAAAAAAAAAAAAAGACAAAATTTCTTCTTGCATGGAATTTTATTGAAGTTGGAGAGACAGGAAATACTCAAGTAAACAAATTTAAAAATTTAATTTGGGTAATGAGGGCTGCTTTAAATAAAAAGAAAAGTGGCAGCTGAAAGAAGAGTGCTGGGGGGTGGTCGGGCCTCTAGGTTGGGAAACTTATTGAGACGATGGTGTTTGGACTTACATTACAATATTGTTCTGAACTTTCTTCTTTGTATTGTTCTTATACTCCCCCAAACCACACGAGAAAGGTGGGCTAGATGTTATTGTCCACACTTTGTTGGTGGAGCATTTCAAGAGCAATACATTTCTTGCCCAAGACAAAAAATAGGTTCTATTTTCTAAGCAAAAGCCCCACTGAAAAAGAGAAACCCTGAGCCATAAACCTTCATGAGCATGACTTAAATTTCTGAAATACATTTAAGTTCAAGAGGCTTTGTATGAAATCAGCCTCTATGGAATTTCCCACTATTAAGAGCACAGTGAGCACTGATGATTGAAAAGAGCATTTTGAGTTCTTTTTTGTAGTCCTGGGGAGGGGGGGTGCTGAGCCGTCTCCAGCCCTCACACTCAAAAGAAGACCTTTGTGAAGTAGCAGACAGGGGGAAGGAGACGGGCCATGGCTATGGATGGGATTGGGTGTTGTCCATGTGCTGCCACTTAAAAAGGGAGCCATTCATTGAACTGTCAGCCTCCTGGAAGGCAGACCACATCCACTTCTGTCTTCTGGGTTACAGATGGTGAGGAGAGGGAAGCAGCCCAATTCCTTTACTTAGCCATGTGACCTTGGACTATAATGTAACCTTTGGGAGCCCCAGGTTCCATATATATATATATAAATATATATAATATATTTTGTTAATGCTTACCCAAGGATATTTTTTTCCCCATTGATTTTTAGAGAGAGTGAAGGAGAGCGAGAAGGGGGAGAGAGAGAAACATTGATGTGAGAGAGACACATCAATTGATTGTCTCCCACACGTGTGCGACCCGGGGGCCAGGGATAGAGCCTGCAATTGAACCTGAGACCCTTTGGTCCTTGGGCTGACACTCTAATCCTGGGGTCCCCAAACTTTTTAAACAGGGCGACAGTTCACTGTCCCTCAGACCGTTGGAGGGCCGGACTATAGTTTAAAAAAAAAACTATGAACAAATTCCTATGCACACTGCACATATCTTATTATGAAGTAAAAAAACAAACAAAATGGGAACAAATACAATATTTGTATTTGCATGTGGCCCGCGGGCCGTAGTTTGAGGACCCCTGCTCTAACCACTGAGAAAAACTGGGCAGGGCTGGTTCCTCATTTTTTTTAAAAAAAATATATTTTGTTGATTTTTTACAGAGAGGAAGGGAGAGAGATAGAGAGGTAGAAACATCGATGAGAGAGTAACATCGATCAGCTGCCTCCTGCACATCTCCCACTGGGGATGGTCCTGCAACCCAGGTACAAGCCCTTGACCGGAATCGAACCTGGGACCCTTCAGTCCACAGGCCGACGCTCCATCCACTGAGCCAAACTGGCTTCGGCTGGTTCCTCATTTTTAAAATGAGAATAATGACGTTGTTTACAATGGCTTATCAGGAGAATGTAGTAAGCTACTCTGCTCAGTACCATACCTG